AGGGTCTGTGGCTTTTGTTCTTGCAGCTCCCACACTTGGCACATTGCCTGAGTCAATACGTGCTGCACATTGGCTCTGGACGGGGCACGGTTTCTGTCAACCAGCCCTGAGCCCATCCCTTTAAAATGCTGGTGCTTCCTCCCCAAGGCCTGTGTGTTCCTGAGGGCTGGTCAGAGTTGGGAGTCTGCCAGCAGCCTGGGGCGCCTGAAGCTCAGCTGTCCTGCAGGTGCCAGGGCCTGGCAAAGCCAAACCATTCCCCCTCTGCCTCGAACATCCCAGATGGCCTCAGCTGGTGGGCTTTGAGGCCGAGGCAGTGGAGGATTCAAGGCCGTGTCTCCACTTGACCGCAGGAGTGTGGCCACCTGAGAGGGAGGCACTAGAATCTACCACCAGAAGCCTCACAGAGGAAGCAGTGCACCCCCTTCCTGCCCCACAGGATTCTGTGGCCAGCCAGGTGCATGGGCAGGCCGGGTCACAGTCAGGTCCTCATGGTATTGGTGGGCCCCTGGGGGGACCTGAAGCCCGAGAGGGTCTCCCGCCCAGGATGGAACCTGTGCCAGGCCCCTATGAGGCCGAGAGCACATCTGCGGTGCCTCGGTTTGTCACCGCTGCTCTGCTCTGTGGGGTGGCTGGGGGCTGCGGGGGCCTGTCATCTGTCATCCACACTGTGCTCAGATACTGGATCCCTCACTGATTGCAGTTTGTCAGCACTCACTCTCATTTTCCTCTTCCTGCCCACTCTGTCACAGCCCCTCTGTGTCCCAACCTGCTCCTCCTCCCCTGTCACCCCGCAGTCTCCATTATTACTCTTCATGCAAAGCACATAAGTTGAGGGGTGCCTGACTGGCTCATTCAGTTGAGCATCAGGCTCTTGATTTCAGCTCAGGACAGGATCTCAGAGTCCTGGGATCGAGTCCTGTGTCAGGCTCTGCGCTCACCAGGAAGTTTGCTTGGGGTTCTCTGTCTCTCCCTCTGCCCCTCCCCTCCCTCCAGCACATGTTTTCTCTCTCTCTCTATCTCTCTCTCCCCCACTCCACCTAAAATAAATAAATAAATCTTTAAGAGAAAAAGGCACATTAATTAATACGCCCTTGGTACCTGGTTCTAAGGGAAAGACATAAAATAATAATAGTAGTAATAATAATTGTTTATTGGACACCACTTAATGTGCCAGACACTTCACGTACATTGTTTTCATCCTCAAAACAACCCTGGAGGGAGGCCTTATGATTTCCACTTCATAGAAGCACAGCTGAGAGGGAAGCACACAGGCCATACAGGGGGGCAGGCATGGGTATGCACCCTCCATGGCCCAGGTACTTCCCACTGTACCACAGTGTCCCTGGAGTAGCCCCTACCTGGGGACATCGTGGGGTGGGCATGGCAGGTGTGTGGACATGTTAAAACAGCCAGGGCTGAAAGTGGGGGTATCTGCTCTGGGTGAGGTCCTCCCAGGAGGTCCCTCCTCCCAGGAGGTCCTCCCAGAAGCCTGTTTGAAACAGGGATTCTGAACTGGGGGTGACTTTGTCCCAGAAGACATTTGGCAGTGTCCGGAGACATTTTCTAAGTCATTTTTTTATTGAGGTATAATTGACATAGGGATTTAGTGTCAGGTGTACAACGTAGTGGTTCCATATTTATATATAACATAAAATGGTCACAATAGGTCCAGTTGACATGTGCCACCACACAGTTATAATTCTTCTCCCATGATTACAGCTTTTAAAATCTATTCTTTTAGCCACTTTCAAATATACAATACAGTATTACTAACTATAGTCACCATGCTGTACGTTATGTCCCCAGGACTTGTTTATTTTATAACTGGAAGCTTGTATGTCAGACCACCTTCACCCATTTGCTCAGTCCCACCCCTCACTCTGGAAGCCACCAGTCTCACCCCTGTATCTGTGAGTTTGATTTGGGTTTTTTTTTGGGGGGTTTTTTAGATTCCACATATAAATGAGATCCTATGGTATCTCTTTTTTTTTTTACTTATCTCACTTAGCATACTGCCCTCGAGGACCACTTGCATTGTTGTGAATGGCAGGATTTCCCTCTTTTTACAGCTGAGTAATATTCCATTGTGTATATATGTGTAAGTTTATGTATATGTGTGTGTATATTTCTGTATCCCTTCATCCATGGGCAGACTCTTAGGTTATTTCCATGTCTCAGCTATTGTAAGTAGTGCTTGGAGACAGTTTTGATCATCCCAGCCACAGAGCTGCCTCTGGCATCAGGTGGGTAAAGACCAGGGATGCATCCCACAAGGCACAGGACCACACCTATCACCAAGAGTTATCCAGCCTAGGATATTAAGAGAAACCCAGCTTTCAGGGAAGGGAGTGGGTTTTCCAGCTGGGTCTAGGTCAGCTCAGGTCAACAAACTCAAGCAGCACCTGTCCCCCAGTTGGCACCAGGAACTGGGCCTCAAGGTGCTCACGGCAAGTGGCAGGAAGAGGTGGGAGGGGAGGTGCTGAGATGGGAAGGCAGGGGGAACAGGGACAACCCAGAGTGGCTGGGCATGCTTTCCTTGCCACATGGTCATCTGGGAGGGAGGAGAAGAATAGCCAGGCAAGGAAAGGCGGGAAGGGCATTCCTGGCAGAGGGAACAGCATGGCCAAGTGCAGGCAGCCAAGAAAAAGGAAAGATGTGTAGGAAAGATGAGCCGGTGATATGTTCAGGAGTGATGCAGCAGGGGTGGGAGCTGAGGGAGAGCTGTGGGCCAGGTGCGGAGCCTGGGCTTCACCCTGCTGAGCGGAGAGCTTGGGAGTGGGGGTGGCTGGTGGCTGGTGCTGCAGTGTGGTGGACGTAAAGGGTAGGTTTACAGTAGGAGCTCTATGGGGCATGATGAGACCGGACCAGGAGAGCCCTTAGTGGACTATTGTCACAGATCAAGAGAAGATAATGAGCACCAAAGCAGCTAAACACTTCAAAGGTCGAGAACAGAGCTAAGTTGACTGATGTTTTGCTGTCAAGCAGTTTGATCATTGTTGCAGGCCAGCTTCTCCAGGAAGCAGGTGCTGGGGAGGAGGTAGGGGTGCCAAAGGTTCATTGTAGAGGCACCCTGAGAAAGCAAGAGGACAGAAGCAGGATTGTACAAGGGAGCATCGGACCAGGATGCCACCTGGCCGAGTCTCTGCAGGCCCAGCAGGGAGCTCTGGAGCAACGCTTGCGCATTATAGGTGTTCCCCCCCCCCCATGGAAACAGCCACACCCTTGCATCCCCGCCACACCCAGCCGAGGGCTGGGAGCCACTGTGGGAACAGCATCACTGGCGCTTCAAAGTTCAGGTGAATATCCACAGAGCCCAGAGTAGGGGCTGTCCATAACCACACACTCCCACCCAAGCAGGGCGTCCTTTCCTGAAGGCGATCCGAGTGGGGCACCCCCATGTCTGCCACGATCCCTCACCAGATACTCTTCCTCACCCAGTCTCAGGAAACTTGTAAGAACGTGTGTGGAACAAGTAGAAAGAAACTATATGAACACATATACAACAGGAAATTAAATTGATGCTTTAAAAGAAGGAGATCACAGCTTTTAAGAAAGGAGAGATTTTTTTCCCGGGAAACTCTGTTAAGAGCAGAACATCAAATTTAGCAAGAGCTTCCTGGCAGCCAACGTGAGAAAGGAAAAAAAAAATAGGCTATAATATTCTCTTTATTTTACATGAAAGGCATGTATGTCAGGAAGGAGAGAGACATTTTCCTGCCCTAAAACTTTAGGATCACTTTATCAAATAAACGTTGCATTTTGAACTTTGAGAAAGTGTTAGCAATACTATGATGTAGTGAATGATGTAGAGACGTTACTCCTTCAGGTACTTGTCCCATTAATCCTTAATAAAATACTAGGAAAAGTATTAAGTCATAGCTTACAAAAGAAACATTCTGAAGCCGTTTTCAATGTACTACTGGAAATAACACTCCAGAGGCTTCATGGGCTTGCTTTTTGTAGAATCTGGAGCAAGTTTAACAGCCTTTTCTCCCCCTGCTACTTAAGAAGAGCAATTTCACATGCCCTGAGGGGCAGAGCAGTGTTTTCAAGGATGATGCCCACTGTGTCTGGAATGGACTGTCCACAGGAGCCGTCACCAAAGCCACCTTTCTCTGTAGGAGGATAAATACCAGAGCACTGAATATTTAAATCCGTGTTCTAAAAGTGTCTCCTATTACCTGATTATTATGCTCTCAGGGGTCTAATCAGTCAGCCTACCTTTGCATATATATACGTGGAGGTTTGCACAATTAAGGGCTTGGTAACAAATGACAGGTTCGCTGAGGCTGGAAATTTGCCACGTTCAGCCTGGGAAAGGCATAAGTCACCTGGGTGAGTTTGAATCCCAGGGAGATTAGCTCTTTGAGAATACATCCCCCCACGGTACCTGTGTTTCAGAGGTCGTACGGAAAGGGCCCTGGAGGTCATTTAGTTCAGTTCTCCTTCCAGTGATGGAATCTACTCCCAGCATCCTGGCCAAGTGGCCAGCAGTCTGACCATCCGAATGCCTCCAACAAGGATGAGCATGCAGGGCCAGGCACACATTATTGAGATGCTCAATAAATATTTATCCAAAGAGCATCTCCTGTGTGCAAAGCTCTGTGTTCGGGTTTAGCATGTATACACCGTCCAGTTACTACTGGAGCTCTGTGAGGCAGGAATGGTCACAAACAATGGACAGATGCGCTGTGGTAGTAATGGGACTTGAACCCTGGACGTGCTCCTCTTCGCTCTGGGACCATCAGGAGACCCGTGTTCTCTCCTGGCTCTTCTCCTAGCCAACCAGGTGACCTTGGGCAAGTCACTGCACATCTATGGGCCTCCGTTTTCCTACTTTCAAACAAAGGCTTGGGACTTTGTGGTTTCAAAGGCCCCTGCCAGCTCTGCCCCTGACAAGGTGTGTGTCTGGGTGGTGGAACCAGCCCTGCAGAGCCCAGCGTTAGACACAGCAGACATCCTAACCCCTGCTAAAAGTCTGCGATCGTCCCTGTTTGCAGCCTTCCAGACTTTCCTGGGCAAAGAGGATGTCTCCCGAGAAGTGGAGGAGGTCCTGGCGGAGAGCCGTGTGCAGAGGAACATCCAGCTGGTGTCCGTGCTGGAGCTGCTCCGGAGTCCCTTTGTGCGCTGGCAGGTCATCACTGTGATCGTCACCATGGCCTGTTACCAGCTCTGCGGCCTCAACGCGGTGAGTGTCCCTGCCCAAAGAGAGGAGCTGGAGGGAGGTGAGGTGGGGCGGGGCAGGGCCTGTGCCTTGATACCAGGATCCGGTCCCAGCTCTGCCACCTGCACCAGCTCTGCGCCATTGGGTAGCCACATGATCTGATCCATTCTCAGTTTCCTCATCTATAAAATGGTCCGACATAATACTGAAAGAAATAATCCATACAGAGTGTTCAACGCAGCAGCTACACAGTTGCCCCTTAATAAATACTGCCTATCATTATAATTTATGATCCCAAACCTCAGATTTCTTTATAAAATGGGTATTGGGATGTTGTAAGTGAAAGATGATCTAAATAAAAGTACTCTTGGCTGGGCTGACTTCAATGTGCAACTTTGGTCTAAGAACACCTCAGGCTTGGAAGGAAAACTTTCTAGGGGCCTGAGCTGATGTGAGCAGGGATATCGGTTTAGGGGGTCTTCCATGCCCTAAACCCTCTGACAGATGCAGCTGCTCCTTTTCTCCTAGGGAGTCCTAAAGGTGGAATCCAAGAATCCCAGTACCAGAGAGGCAGATTTGGGATCATTATCATTGTTGCTTCTGAAAAACAGTGGGTCTGCCTCAAGGAGGGATGAGTTCCCCATTTATGAAGGTGTGCAAGCCAGCTGACAGGACAGTGTAGAGGTACTTACACAGCTCAGGAGAAGCAGGGCTGGGCCCAGAGGAGGGAAAGGGGGCCCTTCCAAAGAGCCTCAGAGAAAAGGACCCTGGAAGTCATTTAGCTCAGTTCTGCATTATGAGCCTGGCATCCCCTAAAAGTCAGCAGGCAGGGTGTTCAGGAGGTGTGTGGGGAAATGACATAAAAGGGGAGGTATCACCGTCCTGGAGAGGGAAAGGTGACACCATGGAAAGTTACAACCATAGTGTTTTACCGCATTTCAACTACTCTTGATTCTATTTTTGGAAACATTGGGATGAAATGAAATCATCTTGCAACTTATTTGTTTTTACCTTTTTCCTTGGTCTGGTTATAGTCAGCAGAAGGAGGAGGGCCCAGGACAATGGCATGGCCTTAGACACCTCCTGCTGTTTCCTCCTCTTTGAACTCCCTGTTCTGAGAAGGTAGAGAGGGAGCAGACCTGTTCTTAGAGCTAACATTTGGAGTCATAAAAGACACATATGGAATCTGTATTTAATGAGGCATTTAGCTTGAGAACCATGACATTTCTAAACAGAATTCTCTTCCTCTCCTTGGACAAAAGTTTCCAATTTGCATTCCCTGTACAACTTCCTATATGAATTCCATTAGAGTGTATCTGTAAACCCCACTGCATCGGCATAAGATGGGGAGAAACCACCTCATCCTCTCCAAGGACCCGCAGTGGGGCGGTCTTAGCCCCCAGGAATCCCCCACCCACCTAGTAGTGACTGCCTTTCATCTCTTTTGTTATTGTCATGAGCACATTTAACATGAGATCTACCTCCTTAACTAATAATTAAGTGTACAACACAGGATTGTAAACTGTAGGTGCATTGTCATACGGCTCATCCCATCTGCAGAGTGTATGCGTCTTGCTTCACTCAAACTTTGCACCTGTTGATTGGAAGCTTCCCATTTCCTCCTGCTATAGTCCCTAGCAACCGCCACCCTACTTCTGTGAGTTTGGCTGCTTTAGATACTTCACGAAAGCGCAAGCATGCATGCTTCCATGATCAGTTTATTTCCTTCAGCGTAAGGTCCTCCAGGTTCATCCATGTTGTCATTGCAGGACATCCTTCTTTTTCAAGGCTGGATAATATTCCATCATGCCTGCATGTAGCACATTTTCTCTATCCATTCACCTATCGACAACATTTAGGATATTTCCACACCTTGGCTACTGTGATCTGTGCCACATTGAACCTGGAAGTGCAGATATCACTTTGAGATCCTGATTTCAATCTGGATAAAAACCCAGAAGTAGGATGCTGACTCATATTGCAGTTCTGTTTCTAACTGAGGAACTTCCATACTGTTTTCCAGAGCATCTACACCAGATTACATTCCCGCTGACAGTATGCAAGCATTCTCATTTTTCCATTTCTTCACCAACACTTTTTTAAAAAAATATATAATAATAGCCATCCTAACAAATGTTAGGAGATGTCTTGCTATGGTTTCAATTTGTATTTCTCTGATGATTAGTGATGTGGAGTGTCTTTTCATGTCTGCTGGCCGTATGTATGTCCTCTTCCGAGTGATGTCTGATCAAGGTCTTTGCCCATTTTTAGTAGTTATTTGGAGGTTTTGGGGGCTTTTGTTTTATCTTATTCTGTTTTGCTATTGGGATGTAGGAGTTCTTTATATGTTTTGGTGATTAACCCCTTATCAGATATATGATTTTCCAATATTTTCTCCCATACTGTAGATTGCCTTTCCACTTCGTCAATTATTATTTTTTTGCTATGCAGGAACTTTTTAGCCTGATGTAGTCACACTTGTTGATTTTTGCTTATGATGTCGTATCCAAAAAAAATAATGCCAATATAAGTGTAACAAAGTTTTTATCCTACATTTTCTTTTTTCTACAGTTCTTATGCTTGAATCTTTAATCCATATTGAGTGAGTATTAGCATCCAATTTCATTCGTTTGTATATGGCTATCCAATTTTTCAACACCATTTGTCAGACTATCCTTTCTTTATTGAATATTCTTAGCACCTAAGAATATTGACCATATGTGGTCAATCAGTTGACCACATATAGGTTTATTTCTGGGATCTCTATTCTGTTTTCTTAGTTTGTATGTCTGTATTTTTGCCAGTATCATGCTATTTTAATTACTGTTGCTTTGTAATATATTTTGAAAAGAGAAAATGTGATGCCTCCAGTTTTGTTCTTTTTCAACATTCATTGTCTTTTGTGGTTGCATATGAATTTTAGGATTTCTTTCTATTTCTGGAAAATATGCCATTGGAATTTGAATAGGGATGGCATTGAATCTGTAGATCATTTTGGGTTGTGTGGACATTTTAATAATATTAAATCTCCTAATCCATGAATGGAGTATTTTTCCATTTATTTGTGTATTTAATTTCTTTCCTCAGTGTTTTGTAGTTTTCAGTACAAAAGTCTTTCATTTCTTAGTTAACTTTTATCTCCAAGTACTGCTATTGTAATACTATTGTAAGTACAATTATTTCCTTAATTTCCCTTTCAGGTGGTTCCTTGTTTAGTATATAAAAACACAACTGATTTTTGTATGTTTATTCTGTATCCTGTAACTTTACTGGATTTGTTTATTAGTTCTAACAATTTGTGTGTATGTGTGTGTATAGTGTGTGTCTGCATGTGTGTGTGCTATATTCAGGGTTTTCTGCATATAAGATCATGTCATTTGCAAACAATGATAATTTTACTTCTTCCTTTCTGATTTGGATGACTTTTCTTTTTCTTATCTAATTGCATTGGCTAGGATTTACAGTACTATGTTGAATTGAAGTGAGAGAGTGGGCATCCTTATCTTGTTCCTGATCTTAGAGGAAAAGCTTTCAGTTTGATGAGTATGATGATATTATGATATGATGTTAGCTGAGTATGATATTAGCTCTGGGCTTGTCATGTATGGCCTTTATTATGTTGAGATAGTCTCCTATTTATTGTTTATTTTGGGTTATTTCTAATCTTGGCATGCTTAACCTGACATAGAGCAAAAAGCTTTGGACCCATATCCAGTGGCCTGGCTAACTATCTCCCTGTGACCACAAGCCTGCAGTGGGAAGCATAGTCCAATCATTCCCCCAACTCAGCCTCTGTCTGCTCAACTATAATAATAATAAAGCATACATTCATTTAGCGCTTAACATGAGCCAGAAACTGTCCCCATGGCAGTCCTATGAGTTAGACACCACTGTTAGCTACAGAGACATTGAGAGACTTTCCCTAGGTCACACAGCTACAAGTGGTAGAAAGGGGATTTGAGCCCATCTATTTGGCCACAAGGTCTGGCTGCTTGAGCCCTGAGCAAGGAAGGTCCCCAAGACCCCCTTTGAGCATCCTCATTTGTGTCACTGGGCTCTGTCCTCAGGTCATTCCTAGGCAGACAGTGGGACAAGTCTTACCTCCTCTGTTTTACATACAAAAGGACAAACAGCAGATGGCAGCCACCTCAGCCTTAGACCTTGGCGGTCCTGTGCTTCAGTCCAGGCAGGCTCTCTCCCCCTGTACCTCTTGCCTCTAAATCCAAATAATACATGAGACCAAGAAAGAATGGTGTCTACCAGATGAAGACTTCAAATGCCCTTTAAAACTTGCTTTCTTCCCTTAATTTTCCCAGAAACTATTTGGGAGGACATGCTCTAAAGTTTAAGACATTGCAAAAACTTCAAGGCATCTCCCCCATTTATCATTTTATTCCAGCCCCAAATGTCCTATGGGGTAAATGATGCCATCCTCATTTTCTAGAAGAAGAAGTAAGGTTTACAGAGGGCCAAGGACATACTCAGGGTCACAGTGGGAGCAGTGCCTATGCTGTCAAACTCACACTTCCTGGCCCCAGGTATCCTTCCCTGGAGCACCTGCCCAGGCTTGGCCAGCCCGTCTCTAAGACTCAGATACTTACACTAACCTGGCCATTCTCAACCTCAGCATGCACATTTGGGTCCAGAAAATCAGAAAATTGCGAGGGGGGCCGTTCTGTGTACTATAGAACGTTTCACAGCATCCCTGGTCTCGACCTGCCGGATGACAGTAGCCTACCCCACCAGTTTTGACAACCAAAAATGTCTTCAGACGTTGCCAGATGTCCCCTGTGGTTAAAATTGCCCCAGTTGAGAATCACTGCATTAAACGAACATTGCATATTGCTCAATACATTTTTGCTAAGAAGTCCATGAATAGTTTCCACATACCTTAGAATTCAAGCAAAAGTTGGATGTAACATTTAGTTGCTTCTGAATTCCTTTTCAGTGTGGGATTGTTTTTTTCCCTCCTTCTCACAATGGCTTTCAAATTCCCTCCTCTAAAATTAGACCTGTCACTTAAA